ATCAGATATTTATTAGAATTATCATAATTCTGCAGAAAATTGCAGATGCAAACCATATCGACGAAATAAAACATCTTAAATCAGCGTCAACGAATATCGATGTGTATTCTAAAGTTTTGTTAGATCAATTTGATAACCTAATCACACAAGATGAGGCTGGAGTATCACAAAGTATTCCGGATTTAATCGTCAGTATATTCACCAATTCTCTTCGGCTCAAACTATGTGCTGCTTTTTGGATTCTAAACTAATTTAAATTATGTGCTTACATATATATTAGAAAACTGCTGTGCAGCATCCGCATTCATACCTTTTTGCTCAAGCATTGATTAAACGCTTATCTGAAGAACAAAATGGCTATCCACTAAGGAAATTGGCAAAAGAATTAGAAAAAGGTGTTTCTAATAACAAGTACATAGAATGTGTAATATTACTGCTGTATTTTTGTTATCCGACACCAATGATATACACACATATATATTCAATTTGCTAGTACGGAACTTGTTGAAAACTTAAGAAACCTAATAGCGGCTCCACCGCTACCAATCGCAACTTCTATTTTACGTATTCCACCGACTCCTGGAGATATAGTAGCTGTAAGTGCTATTTATCACTGAATATCCATCGAGATCGATGTTGTTACTTATTAACATTATTTTTAAGTTACACAGACAATATTCCGGCGAACCGTTACCTTCGCCTATATACTTGAGAGATCCACAGTTACTTTGTAAGAACAAAGTTCATGTTGAATGTTTAATTGTAATATTTCATTGTGTTTCCGCAGTTTAATATTTTTATTGCATTGTTTTCTTTTCAGACTGGCTCTTAAATAATGCATTTGTACCATCAGATAAAACCGTAAATATGAAGCCGGACATTAAAGAGAAGTATCTATATCTTGCGGCTTATGCTGCCTCTGCCGAAGAACGAAATGATGGACAGGTGAGCCTTGTATTTTCCTGTGAATTACATAATTGTTCAATAGCTCGGTTTGTTGATATTGTTATAAGACAAATACAAAGACTAGCTTCAATAAAATGAAAAATAAGATAACCGTACAATTGCCTATTGATTTATGATGTCCTTTACCCCGTAGATAGACAGCTCTAGAGTTAGCACGACATTTGAAACACTCAAGAGACTCTCAGCTACCTTGTCGAAAAAGGGAGTTATAGGCCTTGAATTTAATGCTATCGTTCAAGATCTTTTGGTATATATTGAGTAAGGCACCTTATTGAAGATTT